GTCTTCCAACCTCACGTCATTCTCTCTTTTATTTACCCGCTTTTGATGGTTAGATTAGGGACATGTTTCAATTAGCATACCTTATGCTTGCATCCATTCATTTTGTATTGCATGCACCGAGGCTCAGCATATCATTCTAACTGCATTGTCGTTTAAATACTTCTTCGAATACGTGTTTGAACGTATGTTATCAAATTGATTCATATGTCATATTAGTAGTCGAGCCCATTAATTGCATTCTTCGCATGTGTTGCATAAGACATTTGGAATAGTTAGGAATCATGCATATTTTTTCTAATTCATATCTTCTTGGCCTAGAGTACTAGGTGAGTTTTTAGTACTTTAGCATACTTGCATGAGTGTGAGTGATTACCATATCTAGCATGCTTACCATAAAGCTAAATGCTTACTTGCTATAACTGTTTGAATGCCTATGGATTAAGGCTTGTTGCTTGAATTGGAACAATTCAACGAATATATGTTTAAGCCCACTATGTCTGGTGACAAATTCACAGCTTTAAACCCACTTTGTTTAGTGGCAAATTTGCAAACTTTGAGCCCACTTAAGGTGGCAAATTCAAGTCATTTTCACAAACAAACATGAAATTGAATTGTTCCAACTTGAGCAAACTAGTTTATACTTGCTTGTGCGCATCACGTAGTAATGCTAGTCTAATAACCGGAACAAGAGCATATAATGTTGATAAAAATCATATTATGATTAGTAGAGGCCGATCTTTGATCGGGCGAGTGGGGGTGCTCAATTCATGACATTTCCTTCTCGTACCTAAGTTCCCAAACCGAGGCAACTTTGGTAATGACGGACACGTGGCCTTTGGCACGAGTCATGGGTTTTCTAAATTTTTCCAAAAATAAAACATTTAGATAGCGGCTCTGTATCTGGCAAAGCAGTCCAATTTTGATATTTTGATTCAAAATTGATTTTTCAAAAGATTTGTCAAATTTGGACTCTTTGGTGATTATCAATTTCATATTACACTTGTGAGATTAAATTCAGAACCGCGGGAGTCCGAACTGTAGGGCTTTCTTTCAAACCTTCCGAAAGGGGGCGCGAAAAAGTCAAGTTACACACATGTCACACAATAATAAATAAATGTACAAAATTTAAATAAGCAATTTATTTAAACCATTGTATGAAATAATAATTTAGATACAAAGAAAATAAACCATAATCACACACATGCATGGATTTTTCATTTACAAAATTAGACTAACACAATATTATATAAACCACAATACACCCATACATGGATTACTAATTTACAATATTTAATGAATTAGACCAACACAATAATTAATTTTTATCCAATTAGTTACTTGAAGTAATGATCTTAAACCTGCCCAGAAATTTTCAGGATATACCTTAGGTAATAAAAATTATAAATAAATTATTTATACAATTCTAAAATTCGTGAAAATCTACAAAATATTCAATAAACATGTTTAGGTCATTTTTCAGAAAGAATTTTCCAAAAATAAGTTATAAATAATTCCGTAAAATTCTCATAAATTCCATGGCACAGATTTATCATATTTTCTTAAATTAATTCTATACTTAAATTTATAAATCAAATCCATAATATAAAAATTTATTATAAAACTATACTTCTCAAATTTCATTTTTTATTGAGAAATTACCAGATTTGGTTTAATATAAAATTTTTAATGATTTTTTAAACACATAGTAAAATCTGTCTTACAGTTCTAGATTTGGTTAAAAATTTATATAAATTCGTAAAAAACTCAATAATTGTTGAAAGAATTCGTGGACGAACTAGACATCATTCTAAACAACTTTGTAGAAGAAATCATCTCAAAATTGTGAGTATAAAATTTTCTAAAAATTCGTATAACTTTCTGACAAATTTAAGGGCCAAATAAAAACTTCAATAATCTTTTTAATGGCATAAACTACACATGCAAATCCAAATTCCACAATAATACCATGATTTTAAGACTATCAATATTTTCAAATATTTGATATACAAATCATAAATTTACATACAATTATAAATAAAATTCTATCCACAAGTTTAATCATTTTATCATATGATTATAATATGAAAATTTCTACAAAAAAAATGATAGGGTTGAGAGGATTTTCTTATTTAATTGTAGGATTGAAATGGAACGATGAAATGGTAGGAAAATATGCATCCTTCTTAACCTCCTCCTCTTATTCTTTTACTCCACTTCGCAGATTTCCTTTACATTTTCTAATCAAATGAGTAGCATATATATATATATATATATCAATAATACTTTGTAGCTCAAAAAATTTGGCCCGAAAGTGTCTCAAATATCCAAAATGACGTCGTTTTGGATATTCTTTTTTTTTTTTTTGCCTTTTTCTTGCTTTTGAATACAAATTGAGAGAAGAGAAGAGGCGAGAGAGAAGAAGGAGAAAAGATGGAGATGGCGGTGATGGCGGAGGAGAAAGAGAAGAAAGATCGACGGGGTGGAGGCCTCCATTTTCATTGATTTGTTCATTTCCCTTTCTATGCACTCAAATCCCTTCTCTGCACTCAACTTTCAGAGCTCCCTTTTTTTAAATTTATTTTGCCCCAACTTCTTAAAATAAACAAAACCCAAAATCAAATTTTAAAAATCTTGCTTTCATTTTTTATAATTTTCTTATTTTCTCTTGCTTCTGTTTCAGATTCTACATTTTTTTTTTTTTTTTGTGTGTGGTGATTGTTGGTTGTTGTTGATGATGTGTTGTGTTGTTGTTGTTGTTGATGATGATCTCTAGTGGATCTAGATCTGAAGATGAAGGAAAAAGAAAAGAAAAAAAAAATTGTTGATGATGATGATAATGATGTTGTTATTGATGATGATGATGTGTTGATGAAAATGTTGTTGATTGATGATGATGATGTGATGCCCAGCTCCCTCTTCTCTCTTTCTTGTCTCTTCTTCTTCTTCATCTTTTTTTTCTTCATCTTCAGAAAAAACGAGAAAGAAAGAAAATAAAATAAAATAAAATCCAAAACGACGTCGTTTTGGACTTAGGCCATTCGAGCTAGGGGTGAGCATGGTCCGGATTGGACCGGATTGGGATAAAACCAGGACCAATCCGTTATTTACGGTTCCTAAAAAATTGGAACCAATCCAATCCGTTTAAATCATGGAACCAATCCGAACCAATCCAAGAGAGAAGAAGGAGAAAAGATGGAGATGGCGGTGATGGCGGAGGAGGAAGATAAGAAAGATCGACGGGGTGGAGGCCTCCATTTTCATTGATTTGTTCATTTCCCTTTCTCTGTACTCAAATCCCTTCTCTACACTCAACTTTTAGAGCTCCTTTTTTTAAAATTTATTTTGCCCCAACTTCTTAAAATAAACAAAACCCAAAAACAAATTTTAAAAATCTTGCTTTCATTTTTTATAATTTCCTTGTTTTCTCTTGCTTCTGTTTCAGATTCTACATTTTTTTTTTTTTGGTGTGGTGATTGTTGGTTGTTGTTGTTGATGATCTCTAGTGGATCTAGATCTAAAGATGAAGGAAAAAGAAAAGAAAAAAAAATTTGTTGATGATGATGATAATGATGTCGTTATTGATGATGATGATGTGTTGATGAAAATGTTGTTGATTGATGATGATGATGTGTTGATGAAGATGTTGATGATGATGCCCAGCTCCCTCTTCTCTCTTTCTTGTCTCTTCTTCTTCTTCATCTTCTTTTTCTTCATCTTCAGAAAAACACAAGAAAGAAAGAAAAGAAAATAAAATAAAATAAAATTCAAAACGACGTCGTTTTGGACTCGGGTCATTCGAGCCATATTATTTTCGAGCTACCAATGAGGCTTTTCCCTCTCTCTCTCTCTCTCTTCTAATCATTCTATGGAGTCTAATCAAATTTTGCAAGTCCAAGGCACATAATTGGATCTCATCCCCTATATGGCATGCAAGTAAACAAGTGGCAATGTTTAATCCTTATTAAAATAATTTATGAATAACAAATTAAATATGCAAAAAAAAATTATTATTCTTAATAATGTCTTTATTAGTGATTGAATTGAGTTAATTTAAAATTAACTTTCACACTAATAGATATTTCAGATAAACTCTAAATCAAATTTATTTATTTATTTTTAAAAATAATTAAATGCGAGTTTTGAAAACTTGAGCCTCAACATTCTTGCACAAGTTGAGCCTGACGACTAATGAAGGTACCATCCATAGCTCTAAAATGATCATAAGCCCATTTTGAATAAAAAAGCAACACCTTGTTTGGTTTCGTAACTCATAATTTACATTTTAAAAAATTAAAAAAAAAATTATATTTTTTTAATTTTTACTAAATCTTTTTATTTTTTAAATACATCTAACATAAACATACTTAAAAAATATAATATTTATTAAAAAAAAACTTTAAAAAAATTATTAAATACAAAAAATATTAAAAAAAAAATTAAATATATTTTTCGTTTTCTTGTGTATTTATTAATTTTTTAAAATATTTTTTTACAAATATTTTATTTTTTAAATACATCTAAGTAAAATACATCTTAAAAAAAATGCTTAAAATTTTAAAAATATTCATTAAAAACAAAAACTCAATTTTTAAAAAATTAAATTCAAAAAATTAAAACCAAACACCGAAACATACAACTATTACAATTCGAAGCTACCATCTGACATAAAAATCCTATACTAACCTCAAACAAACACCAAATCTAAATGGTATAAATGCTGCAGTGTATGAGATGAGTGCAATCAAATGCTACATACGAGTGTCATATTACACTAAAAACTCCAAAATCAACGCACAAAATCATGCTAGTTGGCCAAACCTACAATTTCCATATGATCAAGTCATAAATTCAAATGTCGAGAGATAGACCAATGATTAGAAGTTCCAGCCCCCACTCCCCTCGAAGTCACGTGAAAGACTAGGGCCCAATAATTACCTGGTACATGTAGAACAAGGGACTCTGTATGAACAGAGTGGGATTTAATCAAGACGACAACGGAAAAAAAAAACTACAGCAGCATTAATCTACACAATTACTGCAAATACCACAAAAGCACTATTGCAGTTCAATAATCAGTGACCATAGTTCACCTGCGCAATCTTAACTGAAACTAGTGCAATGGGATTTGCATCTTATCTATAAACGTCTCTACAAAGATAACCAAGATATTACACATCCCCTACTTAGTACTTTCCAAAAACAAAAACATATTACAGATCCTAATTTACTGAAGAGCAGCACACAAAGGGTACCCAATATGGTCTCCCCTTGACTTTCCTCTTCTCTTTCTTATTGTCAGACAGATACCTTGCTGGAGAATTCCATTCCTTCCCCATCTCTCTCTGAGCGGCAACCTGATTGGCGGTTGCTTCAGGACCCAGAATTGAATTCACAGTTGCGGCTGAGCCATCATTGCTTTTTGTCACAGTCGGAGTTTGTTTTGGGATAGGGGACTTCAGTTTGGTTTCAAGATTGGCTTCACCCAGAAGGCTTTTCAAAGGAATGTGTTGTTTCCCAGTGCTCCAATTTGTTACCTTGGCAATAATCTCTTCATTTTTCTTCCTTCCTTGTGACTGGTTATCAACATTAGTAAAAGATGGAAACCCTGCCTGGATGTCATCAGAAGCAGCATTCTGGTCAACCCTGTCTCCACGTTCAACCAATGTCATGAAAGATGGGGGTTCAAAAACATCAGATTTGTTAGAATGGTGTCCCTCAGAGGTAGTTTTGGGATTTTGCATCTCTGATTGTGCTGGTGCTTCGGATGCAGTTGTTGGTAAAGCTTGAGCATTAATGGCAGCCACTGCATCTGATTGGGTAGAAAGCACTGCTCCTTCCACAAAAAGCAAGCAAACAAACTAAATATAAGAGAGGACTTCAATATATCAAATGCTGGAATCACTATAATCAAAACTTAGCTTGTAATGCAAAATGGACAACTATATGAACAGAAACTGAGATTGTGTATGGAGGCTACAGAACTATGATTCAGACTTATAACTAGGTTAAATAAGAAAAATATTTTGCAGGGAGATTTCAATTGTTGGTTTTCCCATCTAAAGAAACATGGGATTGTACCTGAAACAGAACCCCAGTTTCCCTCCAAACTATCAGTTTGGCTACCTGAATCAACAGAAACATCAACTGCGGGAACTTCAATTTGTTGTTTGGTAAAGTTTTCATCACGTTCCTCCTTCAGGTGTTCAGTACTAGTGCCTGAAACACCCAAAACATCATCCCTGCAATAGCCATTGTCAACTGTAGCAGAGCTTTTCATGCTAAAACCCAACTCTGCTGGCAAATGCTCTGGAGGAATTTCTGAAATTTTCTGCGATGCTTCAGCACCACTATCATTATTTGATTTTGCACCCTCACACGTCACACCAACCGTGTCTGCCAATACTTCATTCTTACTGTTGAACTTGGGTTCTTTCATGGCATCCTCAGAATTTTCATCCTGCTGACTTTGTGAACCAGATTGAGTTTGTGTTGTAATTCTCAAGTGGCTTGCATCAGGACCAACGTCACCCGAATCTGAAACAAAATATGTGGTGGTTTCAGTTTCTTGCAAGTTCATAACTTTATCCATTCCATCATCTACAACTTCGGATTCAGAGAGATTGCATGCAGATTCAAAGGTCATTCTCGAGTTTGTTTCAGGTTTTTCCTGCACAGCCATATCTCTGCTTTCATTCTCAACTAGATCAGAATTTTCCATTGCAGACTTTTCTCCAATAAAGTTGGTAGTTTGATTAACTTTGTACACAGAAAAATCGTCCACAGATTCAGAGGATGTTTTTATGTTTGCTGATAGCTCTACATTAACTTCTTCCCCACTCTCTTTTCCATCTGTATCACATATTTCAGTTTTATCCTTCTCCTGATCATAAGCATTGTTACCTACACTTAAGTCAGTTTTATGACTAACTGCATCATCTGCAGATATAGCCACAGGAATCACATCAGAGAGCCCCATTGTGGTAGATTCTGGCAGAATGTCCTGTGATGAATCAGCATGAAAATCGTGCGGTTGTTGTTCTTCAAGATGGGAATCCGTTTGAATTTCCAAACTCATAGTTGTCTCCAGAGAGGCTTCTACACCGTTGGGCCTGAGGTCTTCACTGCTAAGATTCAACTCTGAAGTATCAGTTTCCCCTTCAACAGGTATTTCTGCAACTAAAACCTTATTGCCTCCAGCTTCCTGTTTAAGGTCACCTTCCAAAGCATGCAACTCTGCAGAAGATAAGTGGATGTGTTGATCTGACTGATTTGAAACGAAACTAGAGCTGTTCGCCTCATAGAAGGTATCCTTATTATCATCTACCACAGGTTCAAGTACTTCACCAGAGTCTAGAGTTGCAGGGAAGTTCAATTTCACAGCTTTGTGGTCTTGGAAATCTTCAACCATGATCTCTGGATGGTCTACCACAGGTATATTGGCTACTGAAAGAACATGGGCATTTTCATTCTCTTCCCCTTTTATGCAGTATCCATCAACTGAATCACCATGACTAACAACATCTCTATCCTGGGCAGAATCTGATTCAATATGATCAGTGTTACCCACAACCTCCATGTGCTCACAAGATTTAACTTCAGAGGTGAGATTATGCAGAGACATCACAGGTCCAAATTCATGAATTTGTTTTTCCTGCGATTCCACAATTTGGTCCCCTGTTACAGAATCTGAAGTTTTTAGATCTTCGCTTGTAGTTTGATTAGGTGTGACTGCAACGTCAGATAAGACTTCATCTCTGTTACTTTCTTCACACCCTTTTACATCAGTCTCCTGCTCAAGAAGCATCGTTGAAGATTGCATCTCACGGTCACCAACATTTGTTTCTTTTGGTGAATCTGTGAATGTCTCAGATTTAATATGGGACAAATCACCTGCTGAACCATTCACACTGCTGTTCCCAACAGCAAGTTCCTCAGTCTTGCTGTTGGAACTTACCACCGAATCAGAGTTACAGCTTGACAAAATATCTTCAATGGACATAGCACTTCCTAACAGGTCGGTTTCAGTATCTAGCACCTTGGGATTGTGCATTTGACTGCTGTTTGTTGGACTGTTGGGTAGTTGGACAGTACCTACATTACATATAAAGTTATAGGAACTGGTACTGTAAATAATCCAACACAAGAAGTGGTATGACAATTGTAAAAAAAATCACAAATGTCAAACAACAGAATATACTAATTACAAAATGAACATACATAATACTTGGTCAAACAAACTGGCAAGCAATATTTAGGTAGCATTTCATAGCATTGAAAAACATATAAACAAAAACTGAAAGAAAGACAAACTTACTGCAAGATAGGGATGAGTGTAAAAAGAAAAGGGGGACAATATCTGGTAATCAGACATAAATAACCTGTTCCAACTACTAATGCTCTGATCCTGACCAGAAGCGTAGTCTAATAAGTCGGGAAAAAAGAATTAAATATATAAACAGCAAAAACTATTACTTCTTGTGAGTGGATACATGGCTCCACCCCAACAAGTGGCACTGCCATTTCATCACAATTTATCTCCATGTTATCTTCATCCTAAACCCGAGTGTTACTGTGTTAGCCTGATGTGGTGACACATGGACCAACAAAACACTCCCACATGTCTTGATTGCTCCGGAGGTCAAGTCAATCTGGTCTAGGATAACGACACAATGCCTTGGCCTCAAAACAAGGATCAAAATTTCGCTTTTATCATTTTTTTTAATTTAAATATTTATGAAAAATAAATTTGTGTCGAAACAACCCATTGTTATAATATATAGCATTGCATTTTCATGCGTTTCACTGTGTTCGATGGAAACATTAAAATTTCATTGTTTCACTAGTCTAAGAAGCACAAACACTTCTAAGAAGATGGTGTGTCCATGTCAGACACCTATACTAGTTGGACACTTTCCGACACGAGTCAAATACTTGGGGGGACAAATGTCCATCATTTAGACACATGTCCATCGTTAAACACACATGTGAGCTAAGGACATAGTATTTAAATACAGCCAATAAAGAAATGAATGCTTGTGGCCAACCCCTATTAATTGGTATTCAGGCTTATTGAGTTGAGTTCATTTGTTACCTGCTTTACGGCAAACAAAAAGCAACCAAGAAATAACTATCAAACTGACATGTACGAAAATGTTGTATATTAAGGAATGCTTGACAGCCTGTTTAAAAAATGTGAAGTGGCAAAGAAATCGAGCAACATGAGTGTAATATAAGAAAAGGTATCAAGGATTTATCCAAGTGAAACTAATTAGCATCAACAAAAGATTATATGAAAGATAGTAACATAAGATAGTCTGGTTACGTGCAGTGAGAACGCGAAATAAAAGGTGTGAAAAGGACATAAGGAATGCCAAAAGTGAAGCTATGAGTAAGAACACATTAAATTTTACAGTGTGTATGGCTTTACATAGAGCATACAGGCTGAAGAAAAAGGACCCCCCAAGTAGTTGAAATTAAGGCTGGTGGCATCGAGTTGAATGTGAAAATGTAAAAAACCACCTAGTTTTCATGGTAAACATATCAAGAGTAATGAGGTGCTATTTGACAATAAAAAAGCAAGATGCTTTTATACTAAATATGTGCATCACAATTAAAAGCTATCAAATGATGGCTTTAACTACCCAATCAGCAAGCAACACAAGGTTTTTTACGAGTGACTTAAGGAAAATGCCAACCTACTGTAATCCAGTAACATATTCATACCAAAGATGCAACATTTCTTATATGTTATTATCATGTTGCGAGCCTCATCCCAATTGTCATGGATGGGCTTCATAGAGACTTTTTTATTTCATTCCTTCTACAACTAATGAATAATCTTCCCTGATCTTCAAGGCAATTTCCTTCACCTTCTAGAGAGTACATTTTTTTTCCCACTTATCCTTGGGGGGGTGGGGAAGAAAAGGAAAAAGAAGCTATATATTCAAAGTACAAGCAAGTGAAATGCAAAAATAGCTCAAGTTCCACAGAGTTGAAATGAAGTCATTTACGTAACACCTATAAATATCCAGCAAACCTTATCTCTTAATATGCCTTTATTCATTAATTAATTTTGGGTATAATACAACCAATTATTCTTTAACCTAGATTCTTTTTTCAATCTTATACCACATAAGACAAGTAAAGCAACAACTAACTAAAAATTCTTTATATAATCATCCAGAAGCAATGTCAATTGTCAAATCCATGAAGAAGCTAAAATCAAAGAATTATCCAATGGCATTAATAGCTTACCAGCAGTTGCATCAACCTTGAATTGTCGGTTGATGCCCGGATCACCCTCCACAACATTTTCCACATTCTTATCAGACACTCTGACACCCGCGAATCGCTCTTCATTGACAGGACTAAACCCACTATAAGAAAATTCAGTAACCGCATCAGAAAACGCTTCATCTTCTGGTCTATTCGACCTCTCACCAATTCCACCACTACTGAACTCATTAGTGCTTTTCTTCACAATTTTTGGACCTTAACACAATCATTTCCCAAAATTAACAAATTAATTCAAGAAGACTAAATCAAACAAATAAACGACAATTAATGAGAAGTAGAATTCTCACTCGGGGTTCGTAGATCATCATCAGAGCCATGTTCATCGTCTGAAACAGCCAAATGGGTATGCTCTCCGGAGTCAACCAGCTTATATCCTTCAATGGTTCCACAGATCCTCTTGTGGGCACGTCTGTGCTTGGCACTGGGATGTGGGTTTGGAAAAGGCCAACCACATTTGCGACATAGATAAACCCCATGGCTCTCATGCCCTGAAATTTTAGCAAAACCCCATTAAAACCTCCAAGAAATTAACAACAAGATACTTGAGAAAACACATATTTTTTAAAAAAATTTAAAGAAGCTAATGTTGAAGATAAAGCTATGGATTGAAAAATTACACGCACATTTATTAAGAATATTTGATAAACTAGAAAGAAAAAAGAGAAAAGATAGAAAACCCAATTTAGGAGAAACAAGAAAGCGAACCTGAAGGAGCTGTCTTTCTTTGATCTTGGATATCCATTGATCTGAATCAGAGAAGAGACAGAAGCAGAAACAGAGAGACAATGTAGAAAGAGAAAATAGTGATACGACCAGACAGGGCAAAGATGAAGAAGAAAATTAGGTAGATGAATGGAGTCTCAATACTTGAAGTCAAGACTGTGATGATCTTCCTCTAATAGTCTAGAGAGAGAGAGAGAGAGAGAGATGAGAGAGAAGGAACGGTATCTGTTTGGAAATATTTATCCAGAACGTCACGTGTCACACTCATTGTTAATTATAATTTATTGTTATCCCTTCATATTCTTAATTCATGAATCTAATATTTTGATATTATTATTAATCTCACTCGTTATATAAATTATAAATAATTAAAATTTTTAAAATTATATCATATAAGTACACAAGTTGATATATTAATTAGTCCATATAACATTATTCAATTATAACAATAGTACTATATGTATTAATTAGTGTTATGATATTATTATTGACCCTACTCATTATACAAATTATAAGTATCTAAAATCTCGAAAATTATGCTATATCACCTGTTAATACACTAATTAGTACATATAGTATTATTCAATTATAATAGTGTTGAGTAGGGCTAGACATGAGATTATCCGACCTGCCCTATTTGAACCGAATCGCACACGTATTGGCGGTTTTCGCAAATTGAATAGGATAGGGTACGATTTGAAATATATAAGATTTTCGGATTGCGATTTTGAACCCCACCCATACAACCCGCCCGCACCTAGCCAAATATATATTTTTATTTTTTTTTTTGAAAAAAAAAACATGGACCATTTGTTCATTATCTAGATCTATCTATTCTATCTTATCTATTTCACATTGTTCAAATTACTCCTCCATTGTCTCAATGCAAGGTTGTTCCTTTCTCTTGCTATGTTCACCAATTGATAATTGGATGTATCCACTATTGTGATAGTACACCCAGTGTGATTGCATAGAAAATTGAAAAGAAATGGAATAAATAAGGTTCAAAAATGAAATTTTGTTATTTTTAATTCATTAATTATTAATGTTGGAACATTTTAAAAAATTGAAAGAAAATGACTCGAAATAAATATTTACAAAATGTGAAAAAAAAACTCAAAAGTTAATTTTTAAAGAAAAAAATCTAAATCGTAAACTGCCTATAACTGCTTGTACATTTATAAATCTTATCTGTACAAATCATAAACCGTACTGTGAACAATTACAATTTGATTTTTTCTCAAATTATATAAGTGCGAGGGAGTCAAAATCGACCCGCAAACCACAAAAACAGATCAATTAATGATAGAATCAGTTGCGCAGGGGGACCGTTTCGTTACGTGTTGGGTGGTATCCTGTGTACTGAACTACACGATATCACTTCTTTCCTGAAAAATCTGTACCATATAGACTCCTTACCTTTTAATAACTTTCCAATTTTTTTTTTCCTTTTATTTATCTATATAGAGCTGATTGGAAGCTCTTAAAAACAGAGCATTAATAGCTCTAACGAGCTGAAAATGTTTAAAAAAAAAAAAACACACAACAGAGACGCCCATTACATCAGGGAGCCAGCCAGCTCATTAATATCCCCCAATATTCCCTTTTTAGTCCCTTTTTAATGTTCTTAAATATTTTTGTTATTTATATTTTATTTTTAATAATTCGATAATTAAAGTTGGCAACTCATTAAATATTTTATTAATTAATGTTATTAGAACACTTATTAATAGAAATGTATATTTTTTTGTAATAGTTTCAACCAAATATCTTTTAACTCTATTAATTTATTAGTTTAGAAATTAAATCACACTATGATATTCCCGAACTCTCAAGTAGACAAGTTTTTTGGTATTATTTTCATTTTGCATTTTTTGAAAACAAAAAAAAATAAAAAGTTTAAAAATATTCACCGTTTTAAGAATAATTATTAAAAAGTAAGTTGCTTTATGAATTTTTTCTAAAAATAATTTTAAAAAACTCCCCAAACAAGTTTTTTTTTTTCAAATAAATCCATTCTCAAAGCAAAATTAATGTTGCGTTTGGCAGAACTTTGTAAATATGATTTGGGAGTATGAGTTGTATTTTGAGTTTGTAAGTTGTGGAATTGTGTGGGTGATTTTCCGACCACACTACCCGCTTAGTAACCAGCTGGAGAGCACTGGCAGAATAGATGGCACCTGACTGACCTGTAACAGAAATATAAGAATCTCGCGGTGGTTTCGACCACCCGGGGGCACTCCGACGATCAAGTCAGTATATCTCTCAAAGATAAATCAAGTACTAAACTCACAAGCTTGAGTATCAAAAGCATACCTTAGACCCATGGGGGTGCCTCTCTTTTATAGCCAATACAATCCTAGTCCCAAAAGAAGCCTGGCCCTAATGGACTTAAGATTACTGCTAATCTGGGACTCCCAGTGGGATTAGGATAAACTCTCTAAGAGTCTTCTCTTTACCCAAACTGAAGTCTTCTCTCAATCTAGGACTCTTGTCCATATCCAAGTTGAGTTCCCTCTTCATTCTAAGACTCTTGTCCCTTATCCGCTTATCTCGGATTCCGATATCTTCAGAGGCAACCTCGACCTAGCCGAGATGACCTCGGCACAACGACCAAGACACGTGGCACCTCGGCTGACACACGTGTTGGTATCCAAGAAATATGTCCCCACAACTGCCCCCTAAGTTCTATTACCTCAGCATTCTGAGGTGATGGAACCTATATCGATATTTGTTTTTGCATAGTGGCTAAGAAACTGTTTGGCCGAGATAATTCTTTTCCAAGCCGATGTGTTTGCTTCTGAGAACAAGAATTCAAATGAACTTCATCACGCGCATGAGCTGTCATGTATATCTAACCGTTCCTTTCACGTGTTTTGTCTTCATTGGAGCGTGCTTGTGACGTGCCTGAAAGCTGTCTGTCATTTGTCTGCGCCGTCTGACGCGTGCGTTGCTCCAGGCGTAATAAATGCCCTATTTTTGCCGCCGTTTCAAGTTTTGATAAAACTTTTCTTTCCATCTTTTCCTTTCTTTACTTTTTGCATTCTGATTTCTTGCTTTCTCTCTCTCTAAACTTCCTGAAATCCACCATTGTTCTAACTCGAAGTTCTGCGATTTTTTGTCCCTTCACCTTAGCGAAGTTTCCTCCGCTTCGTCGTGCCTGCAATCGTTACCATTTCTCGGCGTCGTTCTTTCCGACTTCATTTGTTCTGGTAAGGCCCTGTTCCCTTTACTCCCAATCTTTTTCTGTGTTTTTACCATTACTGCTTTGTTGCTCGATTTCTCTTATATTTTGAACATTTGCACTGTTTCAACACTTTTCTTGCCATAATTCTTGACCTTTAACCCCTTGTATTCTCCATGTTTCTGATAGCCCATCTTTATTCTTGAATCTGAAACTTCTCCTTTGTTTTCTTGTTTTTTCGTATCTGTTCCAGATCTGTGCCTTCGATCTTGACCTTTATAGTTCTTTGGCTTGGGATTTGTGTGTAGAACCTTCAATTTTTTAGGGAAAACTGAAACAAGCCTTATCAGTCCTTTCCTAGGTCTTTTGCCGAGGTTCTTGCAACCCTTCTTTAAACGCCCATCTTCTGAAACACACTCTTCTTTGTTTAGGTCGACGTAATGGGTATGTGGAGGCATAGGGTAAATACCCCAACAAAACTTGAATACTTTAGGCAAGAATTCTCTATCCCAGCCGATGTTCACCTTAAGCTAGCTGGGGATGATGATACCATCATGCCCACAGACCATACGATGCCCTTTCCTATAGTAGCCTTTACTGAATGTGGACTTCGGCTTCCACTTAATCCCCTGTTTCGTGAAGTTCTTCATTTCTACAAGCTGAACCCCATGCAACTTACTATCAACTCCTATAGGGTAATTAACGGTATTATAGCTTTAGCTAGGCAGGAGAATCTTAGGATCACCTTGGCCGACCTTCAGTACTGTTATACAATGTGCCCCTTCAACCTGAAGGAAAGGGGCTTTGTTTATTACCTTAAGCCGAGGTCTACCGAGTTCAAAATTGTAGCCGACCTCCCAGACTCCAACAAGGGGGCTGGGGATGACTTTGTTATCGCATCGGGAAATTGGGAATTTGGCCCAGACGAAGATGTCCACCTCTACCCTCTTCCTCGAACAGTTAGAGAGGGCAAGGGTAAGAGCCTAGTGCCAACACTTAGTTGTTTTTATTTAAGTCTTTAAAATTTTGTCTGTTTCTAATGTCTGTTTGCTTGTCCTGCAGATCTTCATCAACCACCAAAGAACTTCCGTCAATCCTTCTTCCCTGGAAAAGACTTAAAGAAGCTTCTTGGTCTTCCTATCCACAAGCGCAAGGCTCCCCTGTTGCTCAATTTCATTCCGACATACAAATCCACATTACCTGACGTCCCAAAAAAGAAGAAAAAGAGTCTTTCTCCACCTTCTGCCACAATTCCTTCCATTGCTTCCATATCACGAGCAGACGAAGGATCCACTTCTGACCCAGCCGATCTGCCATCTACTTCGGCCCCATACTTGATCCCAATACCTGAAAGGAAACGTCAGCGACGCCTTGTTAAAACTGCTGAAATGGGTCGTGCAAAGCCAGTTGCCCAAAATCTTCTAGCCGATCTGCCGACTGATGCTGACGCTGTACCAACCCAGTCTATGCCCCCACCAAAGCCGAAGAGAATTAAAAAGGCTCAGCCCAAAGCCAAGGCTACTGACGCCGAGGCTGAGGATGCTTTGCCTATTTCTCAACTGGCTGAGAGCAGAAAGACTGCCTCTGCTTCCACAAAAAGATCCGCTGAGACCCAACCCTTGGGGTCCACACAGTCAAAGAGGCCAAGGTCTGCTTCAGCTACCACTTCTGGGTCCAAGAAATCCGACATCCCCTGGGCCCCACAATTAACTTTGGAGGATAGGCCTATCATGTCGAGTGAAAGTGCCGATGATATTAATGTCGGTGTTGCCCTCAACACTGCTCTTCTCCTTCCAAAAGATCTGGAGCGAAATGCTGGGCTTAGCGAAATGCTGCATTGCTCCACTCCGTTCAAGTAAGTATTCCTGCTTTGAACTTGTAACTTTTCCTTCTGCTTCACTTTTGGAAGTTTCTCTAATACTTCTGCTTTCTTTCAGGCCGTTCAGCACGCCCATTCATTTTCAATGCAATCTTTTGAAAATCGGCAAAGATTGGTTGATATGAAGAGGGAAGCGTCTTCCCTGAAGAAGGAAATCAAAT